TTATAAATTAGATCATAATTATCTAACTGCTTGCCAGGGGATGCAAGTATGCCTGTGCATATCCAGGAATGGAGAAGGAGACTCAAGTTCCAGAAGCCAAAATGATTCTTGAAAAATTAGCAACTGATGAAACTCAAAAGTTTTCACAAAGACGACAATGGAGATTCTGAAGCCCCTTCCAAAAGGGCACTTCAATATCTTAACTTTATAAGTAGTCTTACTCATTTCAGTGGACTTAGCATTCTGTATTGAGGCCACAAAATTTATAAGAGAATTATTATTAGAATTATTATTACTACAGTAATTCATTTAAATTGGAGAAATATATTTATTTTTTAGGTATATGAGCCCTCCCTTAATGTGACTTTCCTGGAAAAATATTTCCTTAATCATCATCTGAGGAGGGGTACAAGCTCCCCTTTTGTTCCACTCCCCACATCTTCCTATGAATATATATCTGTTGATCTAGCTAAAATAATTCTCCTCTTCCTCCGGGCATCGCCTTGTGTATGATCTTAGACAAGTATAACTAGTACAAGGCAAATGCTGTTTGCTGAGTAAAAGCCCTGCAGCATAAATCTTATTAGCTATTATAAGGCTCATTCCCACACATACATTATTGAAAAATGAACATCTTGTGGCATCTTCAAAGGCCATCAGCATATAGATTATTAAATATTATACTCAGATGCAGAAAAAAAGGAGTTAGGAGTTCTTTTGTAAATACACATATTTTCTCTTTTCTACATGTTTGAAATCAGTAATTTTACCAAATTAAAAACAGATTTAAGGAACATTTGGATATATCACAAAGCAATTTTGCATTATGTGATTTTAATTACATTTGGCATTATTTGCTCCACTGACCCTTCAAAAGAACAAGAATAATTACACATCTTTTTTGAACTTCATTTTCTATATGCATACTAATTATAACAGGGAGAAATAACATTCCAAAAAAAATATTGCCCATCCTTTCTTAACTAGCCATCCCTCCATGAAATAATATGCTAAACACTAATTTATCAATGAGGAATACTACAATAAATATTTATCTTAATCTGTTATTACTACAGCAGCTTATTTACTTATAGATACTGTACTTGTTTTTTGTAAATGTGATTTTATTCATTACTATTGAAAACAATATTGAACTTATTTATGCAAATCTGGTATACTAGGAGATGTAAAACCAACAGGTGTTTTTCCCCTCAGTCAGTAAAATATCACATTTTCTAATTAATAAATTAACATTCTGAAATTCTAATATCCAAAAACAGTCAATAAAGCAGCCAACCTTCTTTCAATTTGCTGGCTAGTGTTCAGATACAACGGTTAGAACTAAGAGGAAAATGCATATTTATTGCTTTATTTCAAACATACATACATTTAAAAAATGATTTTTTTCACAGTTCTAAAAGTAATTTTGTATCTCATTTTTACATTAATATCTGTGCAGAAATCCATTCTCTTGTTGGAAATTGTTTGATTATTAATTATGAAAATTGTATTTGTAAACTAATAATATTGACATATTTTAAGGCAAATATATGAACAGTACCAGGAGTGTGCATTTAGCTCTACCTGCAGCTCATTTTTGATTTAAATCACCAGAGCTATCTTGATTTGCTGACTGAACATTCCAGTACTGCTATTTATAGAATAACTGGACTAATAAGCTTGCAATAGCTACCCAAGACAGATGTTGTTCCAGACAAATTAACAGACAGCTGAAAGATGCAAACATTTCTGTGTCTCCAACACAGCCTAACGTATGACATTCCTCTCAGAAGAAAAACTGTTGGGGCCCACAGAATCAGGTCCACAAAGTCTTTCCCAGCAACTTGAGAGTCTGCCATGATCTACATGGTGACAACTCATCGAAATCTACAAAGCTTTTTTCTTCATATTTATCTACTATTTCTACTAACTCTGTACAAATTGGAATCCATCCTCTCTGCCTTTTGGTACTTGCTATCCAGGACCACTCCCTGGGACATCTAAGAGCTCCTAGCAAAATTAATTGGTCAAAGTTTTCAGAAGCATTAAACCTATTAACCCTGAGTAATTTCTTTATATATGTATGAAAGGCATACATACATATATATATATATGAAACTTTATAAAGCAGTGCAAAATGTTTTGCTGTTCAGCGGCCGCACCAATTTTCTCTGTCATTTAATCAGAATAAAGTTATTTATGTGTGCAGTTAAGACACTACAAACAATTTGCTTCCAAAGCAATTATTAGACAGAAAAGACTGTTTGATGCACCATATTTCTGGAAGAAAGATCATTACATTTATGATTTACTAGAATAAGACTTATTGTGGTCATAGGCACTAGGTAAAACAGATATAGCATCTTCCACATTTTTATATTATTTTACATAAAATGATCTACTTTCTACTTTCCAGAACACACGGCAGTGACATGACATAGACAAGATAGAAATGGAGCAATATCACACTATTTCTTTAATAAACTTTCTTAAAAAAATAATCAAATGCCATGAAATTAAAGAGACTATTAATAAGGGCAAAATTACCATAATCACTTAATTCTTGGACTACATAGAAGCTTCTGATACAGGACAGAAGATGAATATCATGGGCTGTAATTCAATTCACTTATTAAACATCTATAATGTTCAACTCAAAACTACCTTAGATCAAATGAGTCTTAAGAGTACACTCTATATATAAAGGGGGTCTACACCACTAACTCATGTTTAGACATGTACAGCTGTAAGGTTTTCTATTTCAATTCAAATAAAAACGAGTCTTTTTTTTTTTTTTGGTCAGAAACTGCAGCAAGGTTCCTTGGCCTGTCTTTGATACTGAAGAGGAAGACTTTTTTGGATATTTGCCTTTAGCCAACACCTCCACACTTCGTTTAAAAAAAAAAAAAATGAAAAGATTGAAGTATTTCTATTTACTGCCACCCTGGCTATTTCTTTTCTATTGACTTACAGGAAAGCAGAATTGTGATGTTCCGTGGCCAGTTCCTGGTAGTCCTTCGTTAAACAAAGGCATACATGTAAAAAGTCTAAGCTTTCTTCTTGTTAAAATTCTTAGCCTCAATACCTTGTTTCTATATGATTCAAGAGGAGACAATAGAAGTTTTCCAAGTCATTACAAATAGACAGGAAAATGTACCTGCTGTCTTGTCTAATGAAGGAAATGTTTCAGTAAATGAGAGAATCAAGCCATTCTTCCTTATTTGTACTCTTTTATCCTTGTGGTTTCATATTAATTTCTGGGGAAATTTCCTAGAGTTATCTGATCAGCAATATCCTCAAGGAGGACTCTTCTTTTCCATAGACTTTGTCGATGATGTTTGTCATGGGAAAAGGGTTTTTAGCAAGGCAGTGAGGCCAAGCAATGCGCTACATTAACACTAAGTTCAAGGTAGATGGGTATATTGCCCATCATATTGCCCACTGTAAAATAAAAGAGAAGTTCTCAAGCAGATATCAAAATCCATAATAACATAATAGATGGTACTTAAACACAGTGTACTCAAATTACAGAAGAAACCCTGCAAACAAAAGCAGCACCCCAGGAGACAACAAAACTTCCTGTTCTGAGTGTTAAGTATGCATGGGTCACCTGAGTCAATGTTCAGGTAACCTGAAAGCCCATGTAAAACACGCACTGCATGGTAGGGAAACAATAAAATGAACACGTGCATGGCAAAGAGTTTACAGAAGAAATTCACAGAACAAAATACTAACAGCTTAAGCACACCAGAATTAGACACCTTGCTGTATGGTGATCTCAGCCAAAGGGAAAAAAAAACCTCTACAATAAACTCTACAAGAAACTCATAAATGAGTAATAGAATTCACAAGAAACAGATTATACATAATTAAAAACTATATAAAAAATGGAGGCACTAACAAAACATACCCCATATTCCTCCTTTTTTTTTTTTTTTAATAGGCAGGAAACTTCATACTTTACTTCCTACTTCATAGGAAGTAAACCAGAAAATTACAAAATATTCTACTATGCTGGCTGATAAACCAGTTAAAAATAAATGTAAAACGATAGGGAGAACACAACATGGTTTACTACTACTTTAGTCTACTGTAATGCTTCAAGAAAAGAAGAATAAACACAGAGACAAATAAAGAAGGAGTTGGTGACGAAAGGCAGAGTCCTAGCAAAGGCCAGCTAGGGCAAGAGGGGGCCCAAAGAGAGGCTCTCAGCTGCATTAGCCCCCAGGCAATGGGACTCCATGAACCAAGAGGCAAGTGGGAACCAGGAAGCAGAGTGGGCAGGGGAAATGAGATGTGATACCCTAGTGACAAAAAGTCTTTTTAAGTTGCTGATTAGTAGTTAATAAGAAGAAAAAAGGAAAAAGGAAAAAAAAAAAAAGAGAGAGAGAGGGAGAAAAATAAATATTAAAAAAAAAAAGAAAAGCTGTCTCAAAACCTTGCTGGGCAAGGGAAAGAAGAGGGGCAAAAGACTAGTAGGGTATAATACAGGATATAAAGATGTTTAATATATTTTAATCATGTAGATAATTGTTTGAATTGAATTGAGAAGATGAGGAGATAGCCTGCAGTGACTAAATTGAGGCAAGTGAAAAGGCTGCAGAATGGAAGCCTTAGGAAATGCAATGCCATGCAAGAATGCTACATTCTAAATTAACGATTGTTACGAACTTAGGATCAAACTGCATAAAAACCCAATCAGTGTACAACTGTATTTAAAAAAAGACCTCCACAAATATTACAAAAAAGAAGGGAAAATCCTATTAAAACATTACATTTCAGTTTCGTGCATTCTGCAACATCCTATTCTAATAGATCTTAATGTGCAGACCACATAGAAAATCAAACTCAGGCTTTCTTTGAGGGCGATTGTTTGATTCAGCTAAGGCGCTAAGATGTCCAAAATTTTGGCACCACCAAACCTTTTTCACTCAAAAATTTAAAAATAATAGAGGTATAATAAAATATAGATATTAGAGCAATCTGGGAAGTTTTCTTACCATAGCAACTGTGGGTCTTTTTTCTCTTGTTAAGATGCAAGGTAAAGATTTCTGGGGTTTGTGTGGTTTTTCAGTACTTTTATTGACCTGAAAATTCCAGAACAGAGATATTAGTCTTCAAGAAAAGTCCTCTCACTTAAAATTGTCTTTTATGGATTTAAAGCACTTTAATTGTGTTGACCTTAGAATTACTGATCTAAAGTCAATTTCAGTGTATGCTACCAGCTTCGCATGTTCTTTATCAGGTAAGTTTTACATTATGAAGAAACACAAATTATGAAATGAACACAAATCATATTAACTGATTTTATGTCAGTTTAGATATATTCCTTATCTTGCATATTTTATTAGCAAGATAATTAAAGCAAGTTAATTAGCAAGTTGCACAAGAATCAGAAAAAGTCTAAAACACTAAAAAAAAAGGGGGGGGGAAAATAGATGTTGTATTCATTGTATATGCCAATATATCATCATAGCTGAGGAAAACAAGCAAGTAGACACTTAACTGTATGTCTCTTCCTAATATTTTTCAGCCTCAATGGCATATGAATATTAGCTTAACTGAACTGGGATGATTTCCTGAATCCGGAGTTTATGTCTCCTTTATCTCTCTGTCTCTAGGTATACAACACAATATTAATGTAGGAATTGTAATGACCAATGCCCATGTATAGAACTTCTCATATGACTTGGTATGTGATATACAGAGTTGTTCCTAAATACAGAATCACAGAATGGTTAAGGTTGAAAGGGACCTTTAGAGATCATCTAGTCCAACCCCCCTGCTCCAGCAGGGTCCCCTAGAGCACGTGGCACAGGGTGACATTCGGGCAGGTTATGAAGATCTCCAGAGATGGAGATTCCACAGCCTCTGTGGCAGCCTGTTCCAGGGCTCTGCCATCTTCACAGGAGAGAAGTTCTTCATACGGAGGTGAAACTTCCTGTGTCTCAACTTACACCTGTTACCCCTTGTCCTGTCACCGGGCACCACGGAGAAGAGCCTGACCCCATCTCTTCACAGGAGAGAAGTTCTTCATACGGAGGTGAAACTTCCTGTGTCTCAACTTACACCTGTTACCCCTTGTCCTGTCACCGGGCACCACGGAGAAGAGCCTGACCCCATCCTTCCTACAATCACCCCTCTGGTACTTGAACATGTTAATCAAATCTCCTCTTAGCCTTCTTTTCTCCAGACTGAACAGGCCCAGTTTGCTTGGTCTTTCCTCATAAGATAGATGCTTCAGTCCCTTAATCATCCTTCATGGCTCTCCGCTGGACCCTCTCTAGAAGCTGCAAGTCCTTCTTGTACTGGGGAGCCCAAAACTGTACACAATACCCCAATTGCAGCTTTCAACAGCCATGTTCACAGTTCATGATCTCTGCAAGAGTTTCTGAGAAAGAACTCCCGAAGGCCTTACCCTGTGTTGGCAGCGTTGGCATTCGCTGCCCACAGGACCTGCTGTGGCCAGCATCTCAGAACTCCATGCAAGTTTCTTTGCTCTGGATAATGAGCAAACAGGAGGTGATGAGGAAACAGCTCCTCTCCTGCTCCTCCTGCACACATCACTGCAGCCCTGCGCTACTCCTGCGACCCCTCGCTGGTTCCCGCTCAGGGTTGTGGGCTTCTCGCAACAGAGCAGAGCCGAGAGCAGTCCCAGCGCATGGGCTCTCCGAGGCTCGTCGCGACCTGTGAGGAAAGATCAGAGCGTGCGCTCTGACTGCTGTGCCTGTGACACGGGATGTCCCCTGTGAGCACAGCCCGTGTCACAGAGGGACCCAGCCCTCCTCCCCACTGGCCTGGCCACAGCTAACCCTGTAGTGGGCAGAGGCAGCATGGAGCGCTTGGGGGCTGCCCTTGCCCCATGCAGACTGTCCTGCAGGGATTAATCCGCCTCCCACTGCGGGTCCTGGCTGCACTGGGCACAACGACTCACCTGGACACAGGCTCACACACCAAACCCGGCTGCCAGGGAGGGCAGTGGGCATCACGCCGCACTCGCCCACAGCCGCACAGTGCAGGCAGTTGTTGCCACCGCAGGAGGAAGCGCTCACCACTGAGCCCACCTCAACACCCAATAGTTGGCAGCCACCACAACACTCTTCTGGCTGCTCCAACCAACAGCTCCTTTCTTTGTCAGTTCCCTCAGCCCCAAAACCTGCAGGAACCTCTGTTCAGCCATGTCCAGCCTGCAGACAGCTTTCAGACCTCGTGACTGCAGCACCCTGGAATCTGGGGTGGAAGGGAACTGAGCAGAACAAGAGGCAGCAGACAAGAGAGCTCAACATCTCCTAGCAGAAATGGCTCTGAATATAGGGCGAGCAATTGCTGTCCCAGGTGTTTTGGGCCACTTAGCTCTGTGCAAGATATAAAAATATACCTTTTTTAATCATGTGCACCTGAATATGAAAAATGTCCATCAAAATGAAACAAGAAATAAACCTTGAAAAGAATGTAAAGGAGGAGGTGTTTAGTCA